GACATTACAACATGGATATTTGTGTGTTCTTTTCGTTAACTTATGGGTTCAAATTGATTTTTGAGTTCAACTGTTGTGGATGCAGTGTTGGAATAAAATGGGGGGAAAGTTTCATGATAGCTAACGAAAAATTTAATATCCTGCAAAGTTTTTAACCATCAATTTAAAGTGTGTTGCTCTTCTGTTTCCATTCCATGAGAAAACCTGTACTTATGAGTAGAAGCTAACACATGTAGTTCAAAATCGGTTACAAAAAAGGAAAGTTACATTAATGGTCTATTTCTAAAAATCTGAACGTTGTTGTTCACTATATATCTTATCAAATTTATCACATCTGTTTTGCCACCTAGTTTTTTTTCCAACACTTGATAAATTATATCAGTTTAACTGACCTCTAACTTTTTGATTTCCCCTGTCTTGATATGAAGTAGGGTGTCTTTTATGAAGTGGTACTGTATCTTAACGTCTGTTTCAGTTTATTCTTATTGACATATTAACTTTTTGCATGAATGTCCCTTTATAAACTTGATAAAAGCAAGTGAAACAATGAGAGCACAATAAAACAAATTCATTTTATTTCAGTAATATTTTGTTAACTACTGATATCCTCCATTGTGTTAGACGTTAAATATGTTTCAGTCCACTGGAAGAAAAAGAATATCTGTCATTATTTGAGGTGAGCAGAAATAGTCATAGTGGTACGTCCCTTTAGTCGTTGTTTTCGTCTAACCTGTAGGTAGATACATTGTTGCAAGGGGATCCGTAGAGTAATGTGAGTTTAGTGGTGACCGCAAGAACCTTGAAGGGAGAAGAAGGGAAAAAGGTGAGCCGACGACTCAGCAAGTACAAGTTCTTCTAAACATGTTCATGAAATCTGAAATAGGTCTTTCTTTCTATTCTTCCAATGTGTCTGTTTCGCCTCCATATGAATTATTGTAAGTAGTCGGAGGTAAAATACTAAGGGTATCTATCCACATTTGAATGGACTAAGTAACACACTTCTTTAGACTACAGTACATAATTTGGCTACACTAAAAGTTCTAGCTAATAGTTTCGTTAGTAGTGTGTTGATAGTTCCTTCAAAACTGAGGCGAACAAATCGAAGCTTTTCGCTAACTGTAACTGTCTTCAAACTTTTATCTTCCATTTTTCTGGATATTCGTTGTCTCGTAGACATCTGCCTCTCAATAATTAACAAGCCTACCTCTGATTTATCATTGAAGCTTGAAACATCAGTAATAATCTACATTTTCGACTGGTTGATATACTTCAGTGATAAATTGGAGTAAGACTTTTGAATCATTAAGAGACAGACGCTCACGAGGCAACGAACATCCAGAAACGTTCAGTCATCGATTGCATTTACCAAAAAGCCAGTATTGATTCGCTTCAGTTTTGCAGGAACTATCAACCAACGATTGAAGAAATCACTAGCTACAACTTTTCGCGTAGCTAAGTCATTTTCTGTATTCTTTAGTCCGGTTGAATGTGGACTGGGTTTATCAGCTTTTTTGTAGTTGGCAAAGTAAGATACATTAGAAGAACAGAAAGAAAGACCTACTTCGAATTTCGTGAACATATTTAGAAGAGCTTAGAACGACTAAGAGGAAGTATCGCTTTGAGCAGCAAATTCCTCGGGTTCCCATTATTGGTTGTGTTCTGTTGAAGATTTTGAGAACTATTATAATCATGAAACCTGAAGGTCCTGAGTTCGATCCCTGGCCGGGTCGTAAGCGCATACTGCTGAGGAGTCTCATACTAGGACGAAACAACTGTCCAACCCTCCTAGGTTTTCAATGGTTCCCCGACTGATGTCAGCCCATAATGAATACTATCTGTAAATTGAAATCCCCATTCATCTCAAAAATACATTACTGTATAGTGTTTATTAGTGACATGTTTCCAGATGGCTATCACGAAGTTCTCATGAGAAGCGGTGGCCTGTGGGGTCAACCGGTCGGACGGCAACCGGATGCCAACTAAAGTTTTTGGGTGATAGTCGCGCTTCATCGTGAATCGACAGAGGTTGGAGACTGTGAACCACCGAAAACCGACTCAGTGGATGAATGATTAACGCGTTCACCGTGGCCTGGGGTCGATCCCTAGCCGGGTCGTGGGAGCGTACTGCTGAGGAGTCCTGCACTAGGACGAAACAGCTGTCCAGTGCTCCTAGGTTTTCAATAGTTCTCCAGCTGATGTCGTTCCATGATCAATACTACCTGTAAATTAAAATCTCCATTCATCTGAAAAATATATCAACATATATCAATACTGCTTGTTCTCTAGTTTTCCTTTTCACCGAAAAATTGAATTCACTCATCGATAACACTACAGTATTACCTATTTACTATTGTTTCTGCGTTTCCAATATTGTGTTTTGATACTGGATGGTGATTGAAGGTGAAATGTAAATGTAAATGGTAGGAATCGAACCACGGACGTCTGGGTTACCGACTCGGTGGTCTGTCAATAAAACTGCAAGGTCCGGCTGCTGAGCAAGATTTTTATTTCACTTCAATAACCAAAGGCTCATTTTTAAAAATATATTTTATGCCTGGAACATTACACTTTAATCAAATGGTGTACACACATAGGAAAGGAGATAGAGGGGAAGAGAAACACAAAAGTAGTAATGAACAAAAATAATAGGAATTAATTGTTTTTTTGTACGCGCCCTAGATTTTTCGTCATACCTAGTATAGTGTATATCACTCATTAAAATCTTTATCATCGTTAATTATTGTTGTAGTGCCCGCTCTTCCTAACTATATATTCTAAATAAAAGCAATCTTCCAATAGGTTCTTGTGTAGAAAATAACTGTATACAGGAAAAAACAGCTGTTGTCAGCTGATTAATTCATGACTGGGATCTGCATGTTACACGCCTAGTCACCATTTACCTTGTTGTGTAATGTCCAGGAAAGTAGGTTCCAGCTGGACAAAGGTTAGAGGCCACATTGTTATTGATCTGAACATTTTTTTTAACTTGTTGTTTTCACATCAATTTTTACATCATAACTAGTAGTTCATTTTCTGCTCCCATTTGCAATATAATTCGCTGACTGGTTAATCCTTACTCTTACTGTGTGTGTCATGGTCATATCTCATGTGTATTCATCCTCACGTGTTTTTGGGTAAGCTGATCATTATTCTCGGAGGAATAAATTCTCCCATCCAGCTTCAGTCTTCTCTGTTCTTCCCGCGTTGTAGTTGGTGGCTCTTGTCTACGAAGTTAGTTGTCAGTTAAGCGTGCGTATTATATCCGTTCGGAGTATATAACAGTGACCAGACTAAAACATGGCATTATTGGATCGAGTCTTTGACTGTTCCAGCCACCAACATTCAAGAAGTTCCTAGTTGTTTCCCCACCCAACTAATTCATAGAAAAGCCGCAATGAATGTATAGAAACGTGTATTGGGGTAAAAAGACTAAGGCCCAAAATGTATCTAATATATAGATAGATAGTTTGCTGTTTAAAATAATAACATTGATTGGCTAATCCATCGTCTGTCTGTCTACTTGTAGACATGAAAACATAAAATACATTTCGATTGGTCCCTTTCCACATTAGTCTTTTCTCTCTCTCTCCATATCACCTCACTCTTCGAAAGGATGTTGTTTGGGGTCAGATTGTGCAGTCCTATCTGACCGACCCACAAGCAGTTTCTCCTTGTTTACCGCAGGATCAGTAGTCTTCTCAATATTCTTTTGGCGGGCAGGACATGAGCATGAAAACCAGCTGTCAAGCCAGGAAATTTGCCTCCTGATGGAGAATGAAATCTGACGCGGTATCTGGAGGATGTCCTTTGTACACGTCGTTTTTTGTGTTGGCGACAAAAACCATCATTATGGGTTCAGGCATCGATGTTGGACAAGATGCGACGAAATGCCATTCACTACAATGCAAGCAATGCGATGTGGGTGTCTTCTCTGAAGGTCGGTTGATATCGTATGAGTCACTGTGCCGGTGAGCAAGCGAGATGAAGACTGGGTGTGTGGTTAGAGGGTGATGTGGAGGAATGAGACGTCTGGCGAACTATGTGTACTTCAGAACCACCCTGGCGTCCGGATTGGGCTAAACTCGTATCATACTGCCGACGATATTCTGCAGACTTGTCATTAAGCGTCTGAACTATGGCGTCTGAAGTGCGATCACGTAAGTTTTGCGGCGAAATCTTGTAGTACTGGTCGAGCTCAAGTGGACAAAGCTTTCGGAGTAGGAGACGTACCTTCCAGGAATCATCTTGGTCAGCAAAATCCACTTTGAAGAGTCTTCATAACGCCTGAATCAACTGTCGAAAGTCACATTGGCATCAGGATCGTAGTGAAATTCAGTGACGCCACCAACTGAAGAAGTTATTAAAACTGGCGTAGTAGTCGATGATTTAGTACCAGAAATTTCGGACCGAGTAAGTATGTAGATAATCCTCATTTGTTGTTCGAGGAGATTGTTCAACCTCGAAGAATTCATTTCTCAATATCCCATTTCCGTCACCATTGTTATAATCCACAGTATGCAAAACGATTTAATACTGCGATACGATTAACGATAGAACAATGATTTCTCAACTTGGTATTCGGCGGACACCAGAAGAAGACGATGGAATTGAAAGTATATTTTCTTCAACCGAATAATCATAGCTGAAAACTCGATCGTTTATATATCCTTAGATGACCTTGGCGAGGGAAAATAAAAAATAGCATATTAAAAGTGCAAAATGGACCAATCAACGTTTGGTATCCTAAAAATGGGTAACGTAGTACGGCGCAAAAAGGGTGCGAAAATAAGGTTTACATTTTACAATGATAATAATAAATATAAGTTAGTTTTTCTCAGAGCTTAGGGATCCCAAACAGATTCTTTGTTACATTCATGCATAAACCTTCAAATGATATTATGCCATATTATTCGCATTTTGACATGTGTACCCTTGATTGCTATTTTATCAGAAGGCATTATCATTAATTAAATTGTGTTTTCTTTACTTTTTTTTTGTAGTGCTCGTTTAGCAGCTCTAGAGGATAATGAAGAACTAATTCGTGATATGATGCGACGGAAAGCGAAGCTAGTGAAAAAAAGACAACAAATAGTGGATGATGATGAGGATGATCGATGACTGATTACACATTTCTTTATTTCAAGTCTACCGTTGTCTTTCTAATAAATGTTTTCTTAATTTTCTAAAACCGTCCCTGGTGTGTGTGTGTGTGTGTGTGTGTGTGTGTGTGTATACCGTAATGTGAAAAGTGTAATCTTTTGAACACACTAGTCGAAGTATATGTCTCCAAAATCATCCAATTTCATTCTAGTCCAATAATATGTTGTGCTGGTGTTATTATTTCGAGTTGTAATATTAAGAATATAACTTCTTTTTTTTTTTTTTGTAAAACAAGAATGAAGCAAACATGATGTAAATTGATGATCAGAAAATCACCTTACTGTTCTGTGTCCATAGCTTTTTCGTTGAATCAATTAAATCATCTAGCCTGATAAATGGTAGATTCACTTATAATTGGTCACTAACATCAAGAATATTGTTGTATTCAAACACCAGTGTAATTAGTCAGACTATTCGACTAAGCTAGGCGGCTCAGCAAAAAACCTCAGAGTGAATATCACTTGCCTTCTCTAATAATCCATTTTTGTCTTTGCTTCCAATCATCTATTCACTTGTAATGGTTCTTGTAATTTCCCGTTGCTATACAGGACCGAATTGCACGGCCTATGTTTGGTAGATGGGCTCCTGTGTGGATGCTCGATACTTCTGAATATTTAGGATGCTATACGGATCATAGTGACTAGCACAGGAATCGAGGACGAGCGTTTCTCCCCATTTGGGACTCGTCAGTCGAATGTACCTACACTTCAGTGAGTGTTGTTCCCAGTTAGATTCGAACACAGCACCGTTCGCTTCAAATGCCAGAGCGTTATCCCCTGGGGCCCAGTAGTCACCTTTTGTACGACGGGTATCGGTTGTTGTTATGACGGATCGAGCCTCAGTAGGGACAACATTACTCACTGGGGTGCAGGTTCATTCGGCTGGCTAATCCCAAACAGGACGAAAAACTCGTCTTCGAATCCTCTGTTAGTCACCAAGATCTCAACTAAAACCATAGGTAGCCTAATTACTACTGATATTTTTCTATCTGTGGCCTAGTTAACTGGTAAATCCTAGGTCCGTAAAAAGCATTAGCCAATTCTTACGTACGAAATCTTCGTCAATTTTTCTAATGATTTTAGTTGGTAGAATTTATTATTATTTTATTTGTCCCTTGGGCTCCTAGTGAAATATGGGGCTTCAGTAGCACTTCACTCTGTTCTCTGTAAACTTTTAAACCTGACTCCACGACTACCCACAAGCTCTCATTTCTTCCTCACACCATCTCCTCCATGTCATTCTCGGATGCCCAACTCGTCGTTTCCCATCTATGTTCCACTCGAGGGCCTGTCGCGTGATGTCCCCAGTTGGCCTTCTCAGTGTATGCCCAATCCAATCCATCTCCACTTCCTTCCAGTGCATATTTGTTGGGTGATAGGTTCTTGCTTCGTTGGTTCGTTACCAGCCAGCCAGCCAGAGTGAGTTCTTTGTTGCTTATTCTTACTGGCAATCCATCTGATCTTCAGTAACGAGACAGCATAGGCAGTTGTTGATGAATGTCTGTAGTTTGTTGGAAATCCCTTTCGTAACGCACCAAGTCTCTGAACCATACAGAAGCGCTGACCTGACTGACATCGGTGCTGAAAATCCCCATCTTGTTCCACATGCTGAGCGTAGAAGATCTCCACACTGGTTTCAGGTTAATGAAAGGAGGCCTGTCTTGCTGTCTTTCCGATCCTGGCTGCTTTGACATCCTCGTCTGTGCCTGTGCTGCCTAGGTAGGTGAAAGGCTACTTCCTTTAAGTTTATCCCATTTATGGTGAATGGAGCTTGTTGTTGTTGCTGGTTGTAGTGTTAGTTGGGTATCTTCATCACCTCTGTCTTCTCTACATTCACTTGAAGTCCCGTCTTCGCTGCCCTGTCTGTTCTGTCAACTTGTTAGTTTTCGCCTATAGATCCTCGAGTTTGTGTGACATTAGACACAATTCATCACTGGCGAAATCCAAATCTTCCAGGTTCTTTCCCGCGGTCCAGCGTATAGCCCTCTTCGCGCTCCTCATAGTTTGCTGCATGACCCAGTCGACCACAATCAGGAATATCATCAGTGATAGTAGACAGCCTTGTCTTACTCCTTCCTGTCTTCACCTCGAAGGCGTCACTTAACTTCCCATTGTGAATTACTCGGCATGTGGCGTCTCCATATAGTTGTTGAATGACACTGATAAAGGTTTGTGGTATTCCGTAGTGTTGAAGCAGCTACCTGCCAAATTACTTCTCGGTTGACGCTGTCAAAGGCCTTCTCAAAATCGATGAAGTTGAGGTAGAGTTGAGTTGACTACCATTCTATACTCTGTTCCATGATGATGCGTAGCATAGCGTTGCAATTCGGTCTGCACATGATTTGTACTTCCTGAATCCAGTCAGCCAGCCAGCCTGTTCCGGTAGTAGTTTTGAATCCAGTGCATCCTTTAGCCTCTCTAGGATGATGCGGCCTAATATTTCGCCTGCTCTGGGTGGACAGGAGAGGAGTGTGATTCCGCCCCAGTTCTTGCAAAGACTGAGGTCTCCTTTCTTCGGTAGTTTCACAAGGTAACCCTTCTTCCTATCAATAGGCAGGTACCTTCTCTTCCTTCCACACCTTCTGCAATGGTGGTATGAGCATGTCCACTGTTGTCTCTGAGTCTGTTCTCAGTGCTTCTGATGGGATCCCATCTGATCCTGCTGCTTTCCCACATTTCAGTAGCTTTATGGCGTTCAGGACTTACATTTTTGTTGGAGGATTTATGTTCACTTGTAGTTCAGCGGCTGGGTTGTAGGTGGTATGTGTGGACGAAGTGCAGATGACTGGCTGTCATGAAGATATCCCTTGTAGTTTCGTCCTCTAGTCTCTGTTCTGGGTGTTGAACTTGAACTGTGGTCTATCGTCAACTTCCCTGAAGGTTTTCAACTTGATTTGGAAGTTAGGTTCCTTGCACTAGATGGTGAGTGGTCTGAGCCTACATCTGCTCCTCTTCTTGATCTTGTGTCAAGTAGGCTGCGTCTTCACTTTCTTGAGATCGAGATGAAGTCGATCTGATTTTTAGTGGGTCTGGTGTATGGTGGAATTCATGTCGCTTTGTGGATATCCTTGTGCTTGAACACACTGCCTCGCCTCCAATCACCAAGTCGTTGAATGCACGGAATTCTGCAAACGATTCTCCATTCTTGTTCGTTTCACTGAGCGCTTGTCGACACATGGTTAGTTCTCTTCCTGTGTTGTCTGCTCCCAGTTTGGCATTCATATCTCCCCACCCATTCGAATTTTGATGTCGTCAACTGAGGCGTTGTCCAGTGTTGATTGCAGTTGTCTGTAGAATTCCTCCTCCTTCTCTTCATCTGCATTATTTGTAGGTGCATAGTATTGGCATTGTACGATTGTGACCTTCCTTCCTTTTGAGTTGAATCTTGCTGTTATGATCCTGGAGGAGACTGGTTCCCACTGCATGAGAGCCTTCGATGCTCTTGAGGACATCATGATGGCCACTCTATAGCCCAATGTGTTCGTGGTTGTCGTCTGGATGATAACATCGGAGTAGATTATTGACTCTCCAGTTGATAGGTTGGAGAGTTCACTTCCATTCCACCTGCTTTCACAAATTCCTAACATTTCAATGTGATACCTTCTCATCTCCTTTGCAATCTGGGCTGCCTTGGTAGGTCCGAACATGGCGCGGACATTCCATTTCCCCACGTTTACTTTTGCTTTCATCGAGAGAGAGAAGACACATTTGCCAATTGGCTTCCGAAGGCTTTCACCAACTGGCGTCATTTCACCTCTCCGATCCCAGCGAGGAATAATTTTGTTTTTATTTTTTATATTTTGCTTGTGCCTTGAAGTTTCTTTAGCGATTGGATTTTTTTTACGGTGTAGGGTTGCTAGCCCTGTGACCAACCTTTCCTCTTTACGGGGGCTTAGGACTGGCTAGTAACTAGTGAACTAGTTAACCAGGCGAGGTCAGTTGTTAGAATTGACAGGTCCTAACTTTCTTACCTGGATCGTACAGACTTGGATTAAGGAAAGATGAATATTTTAGTTGGAAAGCATTTAATTAGTTGTTAACCAATCTCCGTCTAATTCAGTTTGAGCTGGGTTGAAGTACCAAAACTGGACTTTGTAGCCAATGTAATTGAGGCGTAGAGACAAAAGGCAGCCAATAGAGAAATTGTTTTCAGATCGTGTTCACATCATGATCAGATCGTGACTTATGCATGGACTAACATGATAACCTGATTGGAGAGATTCGACGTCGTACAACAAATCGGATTGGTTCATTTATGGCTTCATTTTCTGAGATTTTTTTAAATATATGTAAATCATGTATTTGCCTAATGAAGTTGTCATTGTTCTTGCAGTCACAGGCCCGTTTATCTTCTGGTTTTTCGTAGCTCACTGAAGCAGAAGGTACTGAGGGAGGTCAGTCGTAACAGTATTCGGTTGAGGTGTCTATTGAGTCTCAGTATCATTATACCTACGCCCGTAATTACACTCAGTCACAACATTAATGAATTATGAACAATTGTGTCTTTCTCCTTAATGAGAGAACTGAGCACCATTGTGGGTAGTTGGAGTGATTTTAAAAAATGAATGACAGGCAAGTTTATTAACTCAATTTGTAGAGAGCTAATCGACTTAGAGTCTTATATTCACCTTAATTTCCCTTGAATTACAATCATGATTGTTACTTGTATAGAACTGCATGTCAATCGCATATAAAAACCTCCCTTTTCCTGCGGCAATGGAAGTAACAATTACCCAGTAAAGTAAAACATACAGGACCCTTCGTAGTCATCTACAATAGCGATAAAAGTGTAGTGTTTTCCTATAAGATCCAACTTTTATAATTTCGTTACAGATGTATTCATGTGCATAAACTTAGGTACATCTGACTTCATACGGATTGATCTACCTTGATGGCATCTAGCTGACTTGGAGTACACAAACGACATTGTCCTGCTAGGTGAAGACACTGACAAAATCCAGTCTTTTGGATGCCTTAAAGGTAAATCTGAGTTTGTTTGATGAACATGCGTTTCATACCTGGCAATTGTAAGATGATGCTTCAGGACTGGTCTCTACCATTCCCAGTTTAATAATAAGGAGGGAAGTGGTGGAATGAGTCGACCACTTCACTTACTCGGGGAGTTGCATCAACCAGGACGGACTAGTTACTGACGAAATCTCAGCTCGGATACAGAAGGCTCGTTTGATGTTTGCCAACTTTCATCAACTGGCGAGATATCCGACTACTTATTAAAGAACAGGTATACTGCGTTGCAGTTCGTTGTGTCCTGTTATACGGCTGTGAAACATGCTCGTTAGAAGTAGAAGACATGAAGTGGTTGCAGGTTTTCGA